GCATACTTACACCGACAAACTCCGACTGGCCTATAATACACTGCTCTCCGTCTTACGTCGCCTGCATGACCACGAATGTATACACACACATACATGTAAATAGAAGCGTCAATGCTCCTCGTGCTCTGAAAAAAAAAATGATTGATGTTTCATTTTTTGTACACATATTTTGTATGTATATATATATATCACTATTATGTACACTTGTTTAATAATAATATAAGTTTATATTCACTCTTTCTCGTAATGCCTTTTGAGCCTAAATAATGTGCTCGGTTGTCACTCGAGTGTTATTTATCGGTCGGACGGAAGAAAATAAAAGAAGATGAAAAAAAAAATTATAAATTTCCGATTTACATTATCTTCTCTATTATCGTTGGTGTGTGTGTGTATACACTTCTGCCGTGTGTGTAGGCGCCTTTTACAATGAGATACGTGTCACAATCGATTCCGCTGAAGAATCTCGTCATCGCTTCGTACACCGAAAACACCATAATATTATTATTGTTCCATTCGTGTTTTCACTTTGTCGTGCCTAGTACGGATAGGACTACCGCCGGGTGACCATGTGTTCTACATCCATGTAGATCCGAGTAGATCTGTATGTATAACATTAGATGTAATGCAATAATAAACATGTTATATTATATTATAGCCGTAAGTACAATATATAACATTTGAGGGAATAATAGTTTCGTAGGTACCGTTCAGTTGTGACTTTAAGCTGGAGCTGTACAAAATGTACAATGAAACCAATGAAGATACACATTGGCTATTGGTTATAATTTATCAGTTGTATAAATATAGTGTTTCATAACTAAATAAAAGTTCATAATACCTACGCATTATTGGTCAAACTAATAGCAAATAATACGGGACACCCGAAAATATGATTTCATTTATAATAATTTTTTCAGGTGTACCGTCGAATAAAATATAATACAAGTATTTATTTACTAGAGATAAATAGTAACAGAACAAAATTACAAAAAAGGCTAATTATTATAAAAAAAAAAGTTTTTCTAGCCGTTTAAAAGTCAGAGTCATTTAATATAAAAAGAAGCCTTAAAGATTTGTATGCAAATTTTAAAGATAGTGTTAATATAATATAAAAAAAGATTATTAATTAACTGTTCATAACCCGGATTTTTCGGTTTTAAACGGTTTATTCTTTTATCAGTATTTTATCAGGGGTTTCTACACCATCGTTCATTCATATTACACATTTTTAACACTTATAATAAACGTATAATTATTATAAATTAACACAGTCTAGTAGGAGATCTAAGGTTTAAAGTTAAGTCAAATTAAAACTTAAAAATAAAAGTTTAAAAAATGTTTAAAAAAAAAAAGTTTTTACAGATTTGAACTTGAATCCACTGTGTGTGAGCTCAAAGCCTTATCGATCGCATTCGTACGTGAAATCAAATTTAGTGGCGATTTTACGTCCCTTAAGCTGTGGTACTCACAGCTGGGTACTCTATTATCGTTGTAATAAAAAAATAACTAAGTATGCCAAAACTGAAGTAGAAAAATATTAATGAATGGATACAAATTATTATTTATCATGTACTATTTATGTTTGTTCCTACCTGACACTTCTATATCCACATGTATAATAGGAGAGTTGGTAGTGGCCATAGTGAGACACTAATAATTATTTTTCAAATACCTAATTATTTAAATTTAAATGATACTGAATTCTAATGTGTACGAATATATTCCAAATTGTCTTAGCTTTTCTAATACACATCAATAAATTGAATAACTGAAGCACATTTTATATCAGAACACTTTTTTTACACATAGTCAGAGTATGCCGTAGGACATAATGAGACCGCTTAAAATAAATACTTTAAAAGCAGGTTGTACTTGATATTTGAATTAGGTACCTCTTTTAATAAAAACAATTTTAATGATAATAAAGATTAAAATATTTATAAATTGAACAAATGAATACAAATAAAAATAAATATTTTTATAAAAGTATTTAATACAACAGTTAAGTACCTCATTAGTATTTTTTTCTTCAATAGTATTTTAAAATTTTAATTTTAATACAATTAATAATTAAAAACTATTTAGAAATCTAGATAATTTTTAAGTATCACACTTTGTTTTCTACTTAACAGTCTTTAGATAGGTTAGATTCTAAGATTTGTATTTAATTAAATAAATTAAAACACATTTTATCACTACATGTTTTTCTAACCAGACTTCAGAGTCTTAGGTATAGTAAATATTATCTATATCTAAAAAAACATAAATATATGTTATCTTGTACTGCGCCAATACTCAGCCAACGCTTGGCACGAGTCTGCCGAACCCGAGCTAGCCAGTACTGTAGTTTTTGTTATGCCAGTATTGTGCCAACACTCAGCCAACGTTTGGCACGAGTCTGCCGCACCCGGGCTAGCCAGTACTGTAGTTTTTGTAATGCCAGTACTGCGCCAGTAATGGCGTAACGTTGGCAGCCAGTACTGGGTCAGTACTAAGACAACGCTTGGGCCAGTACTACGTCAGTAATGGCGTAACGTTGGCAGCCAGTACTGGGTCAGTACTAAGACAACGCTTGGACCAGTACTACGTCAGTACGGGCCAGCCAACTGAGGGCAGCCAGTACTGGCGCAGTACTGCGCCCGTCGTTAATACTGGCATAGTACAGAAATTTCTGCTTGGGAATGTGGTTGACCTGAAGTTTAGTAAAAAAAAAAAACCCACTCTCAGGGAGATGGAAAATAGGTATAATTTTAATTTACAACTACTGACGTGCGAGAACATACCAAATAAATATTCCTTATGAGTTTCAACTCGATCCGACTCTTTTTCTCGAAATTATAGCCAGTAAAAGTTCTAACTTTAAAACTCGTACAGTTTTTTTTTGTTTTTCAAATTTTAATTGTGAAAAAGTAAACTCTTTCAACGTTTACACCCCCCCCCCCCCCCCAATACCAACTAGATAAAATTTGTGATTTATAGAGTTGCAACTCGAAGGAATTGGTCCAGTATTAAAAAGGTTACAGTGTATACAGACAAAAAAAAACCGACATCATTGTAAAACCAATAGCATCTCTGCTGCGCATCGAAGCTAAAATTATAACAAAATCTGAGAAATTAGATTTATGTAATATTTTTTTTATATAAAATCCGTAAATTTAGCCAAATAAAAAAAGGTTTTTTTCGCTTTTTATAATAAAAATTAGGGCTTATAGTTTTGTTTCTATAGAATTTTCAAATGCGCGTGTTTCCCCATGCTATAATAAACTATGTATAAAATATTATACCATACCAGGCCGGTCTTTGAGTTGCTGCGACGGTAGTATGTTTTATAGGCCATTTAGGCAAATGGATGACGTAATAATGTTATGGGACGAACCGCTAGTTGATTGATAGGAAGTTACAGGGAAGCGCACCCTACTGAGATTACACAATGGAATGCTATTTGCGACCAAATCCTATGTGAAAACCCCACGTACGTTTATGGTCTAAAAAACAAATTCAAAGGATTTGCAATTTATCCACTAATATATTTCAACCCTCGCGGTTGTTATGGTAAATCCACCTTAAAAGTATGCATCGATCATACAGCAAAAAAAAACGGTTATTCGGCATAGTTTATTTTTTATACAATAATATGTTTTCTCTAATAGTTTCCCACCCCATCTATACCGAGTGGAATTTAAATTGTTTTCATTTTTATGAATCGACACACAACCACATTATTTTTTTGCACATGCTTCCCTACCGTGAGTGACCACAACCCAGTAGTTTATTTTGGGAGGGGAGGGAGGGGGTGTCTACGGTGTCTGGACACCCCCCAAAATGTTGTTCAAAATACGCCACTGGCATAAGCTACATAATATCTACTACCGCAATAACTAAAAACATTATTATAAAGTTGTTTGTATACTATTTGGTGAAAATTCGGTATTTTGAACAATTTTTGCTTGTATGATATATTTTCTATTTAGACATTTGTTAATTTTTTAAAAAGTAGCGTCCGTCGTTATTTTGTAAATATATATTTTTTTTTATTTTACTCTACGTTTTACATTTGTAAGTTTTATGCCTGCTATTGAAATGTATAAAAAATGTATACTGCTTTATTAACAGCAAGCTATTAAATCTAATTGAAATATACGAGTAGTTTATAATGCGCTCTATTTTTATCTATACATTAAAATGTAAAATAAGAATTTTTTTATCATTGAACTCGGATTGTAGCTTCTTATTCATATAGGTCACCCCGGTTGAAATCTCGGGACTTATTTTTTCGAACAGCACTTATTATATTATTATACTTCTATTGTTACAATAATTATAATGCAGCAGTCTGCGTTTTTTTTAAAACTTTTTCATATCAGATAAATAAATAGAGGGTAGCTTCTCATTGAATATTCCGGATGGGGTTCTGTAAAACATGTACTGCAGTAGTCGAGTCTTAAGTGTGTGTGTGTGTGTGACAAATAATCGGAACCTCGTTTCGTTTCAGGGTGTACAATTTTTAAAAAAACACAAACACCGAGTCCGTCAAGGGTAAATGAAGAATGCGGATATCAGTAGTATGTTGTAATAGTTGTCCGAAATGGGTTTTTTTTCTTGTAGACGGCGTGACAGCCTCGGTGGGGCCAAGTCAACAACGGAGTCGTACAACCATCCCGATCGTAAGACGGCTACACCTTATTAGCGTTTAAGCTATTCCAAGTATGCAATAACGTTATTAATTCTCTATACGATTTGTCGCCGGCGTCTTAAATACCCACGCGCAGCAAACACACTTGAAAACATTAATTTTGTTGGCTAGACATAACTACCGAGAACATACTATGATAATTTACTGCGCAGCACGCTATAATAATATGTACATTCGGGTTTCGGGGACGAGACGATAGGTATACTTGCCTATAATATACATATGTAAGATTTTTTTATAAGTGGTTTTTGGAAAAGCGAAAAAAAAATTAAATCCAAATCTGTTTTCATACTACTTTCAAGGCTAAGTCTGTAGCCTGTACTAGTGTGTTTTCAAACGAACTGATAATAATACAATATACGAAGAGGCTAAAAACCACTTTACAGCACAAAACTTGAAACACGAATTTAAAAGTTTTCCAACATATAAATGTATAAAAAATGTATTAAAAAAAATTATATTTTAATAGTTCAAGTTGTTTATTTACAAATACAATCAAAACAAAATTCTTGTTTAAGATATTTTAGGAGATATTGATTATTTTTAAGTTCATAACAAACTGAGGGTGCTCTAAATCAGAATTTTAAATAGATAATTACCAAGTATTTACTAACAAATTCTAATTTATTATTTTTTTTACAGATCTTTGATTATGTTTACTTTGAAGAATAAATTGTTTTTGTCATCTATCAAGCACGGTAAAAACTAATAGATGTTTTAAATAATATTTGATTTTTGAATACTTGGCATTCCAAAGTAGTGTTATTATAAACTTTGAATAACATACTAATCGCTCAATTACAATTTTATACCACGTTTTTCTGAAAAGGATGATGTGACTAAAATCAATTTTAAGTACTTTTCCAATTTTTGAAGGTAGTAGAAGATGAAAACTGAACTCTGCGTTCTATATTTTTAGCCTAAACTCCTTAACGTCTGAAGCTGGAAAAGTTCAAATCATTGGACATTGGTAACCAAATAGAAGTCACTTTATTTTTGTGTCTGAACCCAGGATATCTTTTAAACCGCCGAACCGATTTCTTCGTGTAGCAACTCTATAGATCAGAAATTGTACCTAAAAGGTTCTTTCTTAGGCAAAAATTTTTAAAAAATCACCCACTCCCCTTCCAAAAATACCTCCAAAAAGTGTACATATTTTAAAAGCTGTAAAAGCTTACTATTGGATAGTGGCATGCCTAACAAATGAACCATCCAAATTCCCTCCACTCGATTCGCGGTGTTATAACTAGTGTTTATTGCTCTACGTTCAAACTGCTATAGGTTTTAGCTGAATATAAAGCTTACACGAGGAGAAGACATAGATAACACAGTTATAAAATCAACAAGTTCAACGTCAAAGCCAAAACACACACGACCGTATTGGAGTAGACGTTTCCGGTCAACAGCTGAAAAAACAAACGTATTTTTTTATTTTTCAGTCACTGTTGAATTTGCGTTTTACGCGCGAGACACAAACAAGTGTGTCAAGTCAAGTACAAGGTGATTGTGTGGTAATCGGATTAAAAAAAAAAAAACATGTACCGTTTTTTAAAGCCTTTGCGGCCAAGCCAAGCCAAGCCAAGCCGGCCAGGCCTGGCGTGCTGTTTCATCGTGTCACCGGCCGTTTACTGTATGGATTGACAAGGAGTCATCCGCACCATGAACGCGTTGCTCTTCAATGACGGCTGGATAACTATGGACATTTCCATCAAGGACCCGGCCACACACACTGCGGTGCCCAGTAAAGTACTTTTCGAAGGACCCGTGACCCCGGACAACGTGGACGTGAAACTCTGGCTCATGTCGGTCATGTTGAGCTGCAAGTACGCCGAAATAGTTTGGTGGTACGTGGAAGCGATACGTCTGATTTTGGGGGAGGGCCGCCAGGCAACGACACTCGTGTACTTGCGGACGACCCTGCAGAAAATCAAAAAAATTCGGCCCCCGCTGATGCGCATGATGAGCGCCTTGACGTTCGTCAACTACACGGACGTGACGGTGACCGTGTCCAAGTTCGAGCATGATCTTTGGCTGTTGATAACGCACATGGACGCTTTCTATGAAAACCGCGAGTTCGTTGTGGAGCCGTTACCGCAAACCCTGACGAGGTTTTTCGATTTGTTGAGCAAACTGAACGAATCGTTTGATAGCGCGTTCCAGACGTATTCACTGACAGTGATCGAATTCGTAAGCGGATTTTGCTACGTTCAGTTCGTGCCAAACAGAGAAAACTTCGAGCATTATCACAGACAGTTGCAACCCCTATTACCACGAAAAATGGGTCTGTGCGACTTCCTGACTCACTGTACTCGACTCTTCGATCCAGGAAAACATAAAATATTACTTCAACGACCTCGGTTTCATAGCTCGTACCTCGTAACCCCTAGGATTCACTACAGTATCTTATTAAGCGACCTACCGAATACAAACATTCTCTGCCATCACTGCCATCATTTACTACTCGCTGTTATTTTTTGAAATAATAATATCGAAACACTAATCAAGACGAAATAATTATTATTTTTATATAAAATTAAATTAATTTAAATAAAAAACTGTGTGGTATATTAATTTATAAATCAACTATGTTAATAAAAGCAATAAGACGTTTTCTCAAAAATCTGTAGTCAAACTTTTGTTATTAAGGAAAATCCCCCCAAAAAAAGGAGAATACTACACTTTGACTGTAGTCAATTCTCGGGTTGCTTTGTGTAAGTGAATCAACTGGTAATGCTACTGTTGTTAATATATTGCTTATTAGTAATTACCGTATATAGTATTAAAATTACGTTGCTCTATAAATTTAAAAAAAAATAGTCGAATTAGATCCAGATCTGTATAGGATACTCTTTAAATATAGTATTATTAATAAACATGGACCATCTAAAAAATATAAACACTTTTCCCTATAAGAAACGGATATTTTTTCTTTATTTCACTTTTTCAAGCAAAGTTTTAAGGATTTAGGTCTGAAAATTAGACCGAAGGTAGAACGGAACTATAACATATACAATTTTTGACCGTAGTCAAATTCCAAGTTGCTATGCGTGAGTGAATCAACAGTCAACAGGTAATGAAAATGTTTTCATTATATTGTTAATTACGATATACGGTTAACTACGGCAATACATTTTTATAGACAGACGATCAACATTAATAAAAAAAAAATATTTTTAAGCACATAATCGTCATTAGGTACAATGCTTTTATCGATATTTGTATTTTTATCTGTGAACACTGGACCTCCCTTACTTTGTCACTTACTACTACTACTCACCTACGTTTAATACTTCCTTACATTTATACTGGTTTGAACCTACTGAGTGTGAAAAAGTTGACAAAAATTAAAAAATGTAGGCAACTGATTACACCGGGTTTTACTTGGCGAATCATCCTGTACATAATAATGTGGCTTTGCATAATGTACAATGGCGGCGTTTTTATATGCTAATGTATTATTATCACGCGTTTGAAATGGGAAAAAAAATATTCAACACCCGGTGGTCTCTCCCTCACACACAGTGGGCGGGGGACTCCTCTGAGGTGTCCGATCATTAACAAGTTAAAATTATTATAGTCAGCCGCAATAAAACGTATGACCGGCGGATAATACCCAATGAGATCCGAGACTTCCATAAAGTGTCCGACGCGAAATATTATATTATATACAATATTTTCGGTTATTAAATAATAAACGGAGATGTTTTTCGTTTTTTTTTTTTGTATTTTACGGCGTCCTCGGAAATGCCAACGCCGGGCATCGGGTTACATTTGGCAACGGTGAAAGCCAATCCGTGTCGAATGATGCTCGGCCGCCAACCCGCCGTTTTTTTTCTCTTTTAAATCAAATCGGCAATAAACATTATCCGGGAGACAGCCCAAAACCACCGGCGACCATACCGGATTCACATAATATTGTACACACACACACACAATCAGTATAACTTATATTTCTGTGTAATATTATAGTGTGAATATAGCGCGACAACAGTGCTCGGTTTGTTCTTTGGTCGCGCAAACACACTGCAATTATTCACCACCGGCTTGCATTTTTCCAGAGTATTTATTCTGATGTCCGGATGCATGTGCGTGTTCCAAACAGGCAATCTTCGTTGTTATAATAATAATCGACTGAGACCCGAGTGGATTACCGCATACAGCCTGGACGAACGTGGGCAAATAGTTAAAATATAATGTACCACCTCAAGCGGGGAGGAAGGCGCTTGGAATGCGAAGTCATTTGAAATAGTTTTACATAACGTTATTATCATCACTATTACAACTACAGGTCATGCGGTGTAACCAATGGATTTTTTTTATGTTTTCACGTGGGCGAGGGTGGCGTACGCGACAAACCTCTACACTACACCGCGCACCGGTAGCTTATGCTATGGCTATATTAGTGCAACGCAAATAGTTCCAGGTACGACGTCTCGAGCTTTTCAGATTTTGATACTTCACGTTTTGGAATTATTTAATTCTCTTTGGCTCGTTAAATAGTTTAAAACATGAGCCGTGTGACATAATGACAAGGCGTATTAGTACCTATGTACAACGGTACGCCGGGTCTCGTTCATTTCCAATACTTACCGTGGCACAGCATTCCATTTCGGAAGGTGTGTTTACCGGCCGTAAATAATGGGAAACTTAGTTGACATTTTGGAAATCTTAAGCGCTACACCGACAGTTGGAATATAGTTGGGAGCAGCGCACTATGATTATATGCTTGGCGAGTTTATGATTTATTATGTTTAGTTTAATAATTGAATTTCGTGTTAAATATTTGACTAACTTGATTCAGCTGTAATACGATAATTTACACGTTTTGATTCAAGTAATGTCTCAAAGCCCTATCTTATTTTTTACTTTTAAATTGCTCCATTTGTGTTAGGATAAATAATTGTGGTGTTTTTTTTCAAAACAAAAACAGGGAAATCAGTCAAATTTTAAATTTTTATCGAGATTAATGGTTCTAATATGGTATGTCTTGACCTGAACAATTTTTCACGAAAAATTATTAGTCTGCAACTATTATTATAGAAATTGATCAGTTGTAATATTATAGACACTCAAAAGTTCAATGCTATTTTCATAGTACATCGTTTAAAAAGCGAATGTACAACATTTTAGTATCTAGCTGGTTTCACTGCTCAATGTGTTAGGAAATCGGATAAATTCGCTATGTTAATGTGTAGAATAATAATTTTTACTGGGCGAAGATAAAGTCGAATAAAACTCATAATATAGGCGTTACTCCGGCGGATGATTAACAGCTTTAACTGACGGTTAATCGATAAACTAAAGAATTTAGCGGTTAAGTGGATTTTCAAAACTTTATAATTGTTTTATACACGTGCCTTGTACATTATAGGTCGCGAGGAAGAGTGGTAAACGAAATCTAGTGTAGTTTTATCATTTAGTTGATCGCGGACATTCGTTTATTATTTTTCTATTGCATCAACTGCGGGTGGTAAGCGGCTATATGAAATCAAGACATTGTATAAAAAAAAAAAAAAATACATAATTGTCTTAATTTATTTCGGCAATATTTTACTACACTGGACCGTGTCAATTACCGGTAAAGCGTGCGTCCGGTCCGTTTGGATATTGCGCAACTTTCATTAGTTTTCAAATGACCAACACAACATTAATAATTACACATTCAGTTGCAAGTCTATTAGCGTGCTACGGGTTAAAAGAAAAATTCGAATCGACCTACCTGAATGATCAAAAGCAATCACGATAACATATTAAGGAATATAAATTATCTTAAGACACACCGCTCACTGTCCAATACTTGCGCCTATTATTATTATTATTATAATTCCAATGGCGTTTTCGATATCATCCCGAAGTCCGTGGTTGTTCTTCGGTTAGGTACAATGTCTGTAAATAAAGGTTCTACTAATGGGTTTAGAAGGACACACGCACACATAATATACACGGTGCATTATCCTCCGCATCGACAACATATAGTTGCAGCACCAGCAGTTTAGTCGATATTGGTATTTTTTTTTCCTCATAACACTAAACACGGACGCTTTTAGATAATATACTATTATTATTACCGTTTGACGGTATTAACATATTTCAAATTACACTGATAATAGTTATTGAACGATACAAACAATATCCTCATCGCTTAAATCGATTTATATAATTTTCGTCAGTTTGTTTGATTTTTTTTTTTTATCTTAAATATATATATATATATATTTAAAAAAAATCATATATTTACGATTACAACCCGAATGAATTACAAAATACCTATTCGTGTGTTGACCATCTAGGGAATTTTGTCAACAAAACGACTTCTTTACATATATAAAATACAAATGTTCGGCGTCCGAGAAAAGTATGCTGGGCCGTAAATCACGTTTTTGGTAACCACAAAATCTCAACAAATATTAAGTGTATTGACCTCGTTACATGTTAAAACCGGGATTTTCATTAAGCCGAATCAAATACCGGTCAATTACGTAGTGATTACACCTAGAAAATACCAAATACGAACACTTAGTGGCAGTAACTAAATGTATAGCTTTAATAGTGGTATTAATAAAATGTTTGAATTATCGAACAAAATAGTTAGATAGAAACAGAACAAAACTGTTAGCAGATTTGTCTATTAATTAACAATAATAATAGAATATGTTTTATACTAACATAATATTTAACATTTGAAGTTCAAATAGTTTATATACTAATTATGTAGCCAAACGTTTACTCTAATATTTATTTCTAAAAAGTAAATACCCAATTATTAACAAAATGAACAGGTTAATTGAAAATATTTAACAAAGTTCTACATAGTTAATGACGGTGTTTATGTTTTTTTACATGATGTCGAAAAAAGTCACCAGTAGTTCAAATATTAGAGTGGTCCTTAAAAAGTCTATTTTCGAATTTTAACCTCGTTGCCCCCTAAAAAGTTTCTACATATAATAAAAATAAGATCAAAAAAATAAATAAATTAAAAAATATTAATTTTAACCCGTGCCCCACAAGGGTTGAAGTTTAAATGGGATTGAACATAGGATTTCGAAACTTGTACACAAATCAAGATATGATTTTTTTCCTACTCCTTAGTTTGAGCTGAAATTTTGATGGTTTTGTAGCTTGGAGTCTGCTGAACACGTACACTATACCCAAAAGTTCCTATCTGTCAAAATTGATGCCAGAAAATGAAAATTCAACAAAATAAGAGGCGTTTTTTTTTTCCAATAGCATTGTATTTAATGTATCTGGGGGATGTCACTTGGGTCAGAAACCTAATATTTGAGTTCAGTGTATCATAATTATTGGCGACATAGTACAAAAATTAATAGACTTAGCTGTGATGTAATAAGCTTAAATCAAAATCCTAGGAGAACTAAAATGTTTTGCAGTACTGTTATCATCACATGACGTCATCTGCCATCCCTATTATATTCTCTAGGCATCGGGCATCACCCGGCAATCGGGCTGTCCTTTAGATTTTTAAGTTAAAATTATAGTATTTAACATAAAACCTAAGACAATCGCATCTCTTTGTGTTCTTTTTTATTTAAAAATAAG